ARAWATTCCCTCGCATCAACGCCCGCCGCCGCTCCACCCCTTGGGCGCGCTCTCTTGTTTTCTGGCGCGCTGATAACATTTCGCGCGCGCCACTCTGCCCGCCCCCCCGCCCTCGATTGCCTCCATCCGCCGGCCCGCAGCAAAACTTCACCCCCAAGTCCAGCGCGGAGCGGGCCATCAACCTCCCCCCCCGGCCAATGCTGCTTAAGGGGTAGGATATATAAAGAAAAGCAGAATTTTTTTTTCTGTCGTTTTTTATCATGAGATATATGGTCTCTGAGTTGACCTGTATTTTTTTTAGAAATGAATTTCTATTTTTTGCAGGGAAATGAGGTGTTTGAAAAAAATAAAGATGCAAAATTTGAAAATAAATAAACAAGAAAAGAGTTTGATTGATTGATTGATTGATTGATATGATTTGATTGATTGATTGATTGATTGATTGAGTGTGAGACAGGGGAAGAGTGTGTGTGTGTGTGTGTGTGTGTTTGTACGCGTTGTCGGAGGGCGCGGTATCCCGGCCCTCCTTTGTGTGCCAAAGTCCCTGCCCGGTATCTATATCTCGTCCTGTTGCCCGCGGCTCGTTGGATGGTTTCCAAACCTCTGTAGGCCTGGTACTGGAAATGTACCTCAGCACGGACCAGCCCTGATGGCGTTGCCCTCAGCAAAAGGGGTGCGCCACAGGGCTTTCCATTGGTCCACGCAGGCTCGGCGCCCTGCTGTACAGCAGAGCACAACCGGCCTGTGGTCGTGGTAGCCGCCGGGGTCGCCTTGGGACACAAGAGTAGGGGGGCCTGCTCTGCTTTTTCTATAGCGCGCCGAGTGCTCCCTGGTCGGGTTATGGGTCAGGTGCATAGGGACGAGGTCACTGTCGGGGAAACAAAAAGAAAATATAAAATAGAACTGGAGATCCACTTTGGGACGGTCACTTCAGCTTGGGGAAATTCCCACGGCCTCGGATCATTTGTCGTTTCATTTTTGTTATGTTTATTACTATTGTTATTACTATCATCATTTGAGGCCGATTTCCTTTTTCACAGATGTTTGACGTGACGTTGCCTACTGATTCAGTCTTTTCGCGGGGAAGCTCAGCGGTTTGAATTCGAACCTAAGAAACTCAGTGACCTAGACTGGTCGGCCTTTTGGTAATTCCGTGTCGTTGGGCTGCTCGGCTGAGCGCTGACTGACAGAATCCCAAAATAGACGCACCCGCGGCCGCATCGGTAGGAGGAATATCACCCTCCATGGAAGGTCATAAGCCCCCTCCTTACCATCGAACATGGGTACCCGATAAGGTTAGCCCTGTGCTGCGTTTAAAAAAAAGGGGAGCGTGACCTTCAGTATCCCGTTATGGGACCGCAGTGCCGGACCTACTGTCTTATCGCGAGGGTCTGAGACTGACAAGTGCAAGGCTGGTTCATGATCGACCGTTGGGTTTCAGGCTCGAGTATTACTTTCTGAAAATTCTTTAGTTTTAGTTTATCGCCTTGTTTTATTTATTGCTTTATTTTATAACTTTTTTTTTTTAATTCTTGAATCTGGTAAGATCTGAAAAGGACTAATCGGAATACCTCATTCAGAACGCAGGGAGGCAAGCCTATAAAAGGAAGAGGGAGTCGGGATATCGTCCGCAGCCGGCAGCCTGGTAGCATGCAGTCTATACTGTGGGCTCTAGTGGAGAGAGGCGTGCTATTGGAAGTTGATGGCTTCGTGCTGCGCGGTTTACCGAACGGGTGCAGGCTATTGAGAAAGAGCGGCTATGGCATTGCATGGGTACAAGCCCGAGTACTGGTATCACCAGGCCCGGTGGAAACCCATGTCTGGGGAAGGGCCCTGGATCACAGTCATGCTCAACATCGATGGGGGTGATGAAGTGAGGATGAAAATTATTGTAGAAGGGGCAAAAGAGCTAGAGATGCGGACTGATGGAAAACTACAGGACGCGATCACGGAGGCGAAAGATCCTGCGGAGAGGCGTTGCAGGAGGGACGGAGTGACAACAAGATTGCAGGTGATGGTCTCGTATCATGAGACCGAGACCTCGATGGACACAGCGGACCTGGAACAAGCTCATCTGGACCGTGACTCGGGTGGGGAGAGTGAGATGAGTGAAGCAGGAGACCGGGAGACGGACCTCAGGTCCTGGAATAGGCCAGGCGAGGTCCAGAGGCATCACCAAGCCGCGAAGCCGGTGGAAGAGGGACCCGAGGCCAGCTCGAGACAACTGACGCCCAGAGGACGTGGGGCAAGAGAGAAGCAGAGCAGGGGGAAAAGACATATGTGAGAGGGTGCGCGGCAAGTCAGGGGACCAAAAAAAAAAAGGGAGAGACAAGAGCTGAGCGTGCATTGGAGATGCTAACGTCAATTGGACTGTAGTGTGTGATCGTGACAAGTAGAGGGAGAGAGAGAAACGCAGAACACGGGCTTGCGGTATGTGACTGACGTCAACTGCTGTTACCACTCTTACGTGACGTTTGTGCCTGCTGCATGGGCGAGAAGACAAGAGGGAAGAGATCATGCCGGAATGAGAGAGTAGTGGTTCGAAGAGAGAGAGGGTAGTGTGCCACGCTGACGGAGAGCGAGGAGAAGAAGGTCAGCGAGATCTGGGGACAAAAAGAAGACGGTGTGACACGCGAGTAGGACGACGTGTGTGAGACAGTCAAGCGAGGGCAAGAAGACGCATGCACGGGAGAGACATGAGCAAGATAAGCTCGGTTGACGTCAACTGTCTTCCGTCACGCTCATGAGTAATGAGCTTACCTGAAGGGCGCCACAAGGAGGCGAGTTTGGCGATTACTGTTGTCGTCATCACTGATTCGTCTGGTTGGCTAGAGAGAAACCACCTTCTTCCACCTCAAGGAAGGACTGTCTACTAACAAGCACCAGTGTCATGGACGACGCGAGCACCCTTGTCTTGCGGGAATTGGGTCCTTCAGCGAAGGTCATGTGCTAATAATGATCTATTTCTCAAGCCCAGAGCGTACTCCGCCTCACTTCAAGAGAACTGAGAGTCTGTGACTGTCGGTGTAATTTCCAGTCCCAGCTCGTCAAGTTTAGCTCGTACATCTGTGGTAATGACTGGTGCAGAGCAAGGATGGGCGCGTTTAAGACATGAGTTCTCTTGCACTGTGAAAGAGAGAAGGAGGTAGGGTAGGTTTTCTCTTAGCTGACATCTTCATCAATAATTTGGCCTGCGTGACTTTCATGCTTGGCTGTGGCGAGTTGAGCTGGGGAGGAAAGCTGAAAGTTGAGCTTCGGCGTGAGCGATCCTCCAGGAACTAGAGTATGTTTCTGAGGATCTCCGGCTGACCAACAACAGAGAACCGCGTCGATTCCTCGCTTGCAGAGCGGCTTACGAGACGTCTCCAAGGAAGCTTGGGTTCTTTTAGGACCTGCAAAGACGATTGATTGACCTCGTTTTTCGCCTCTAGCTGCCCGTTCTCTAGCACAGTGAGTCTGTTCGTGAGTACCTCCTTGATCGGTGTGTGATGACTCTCACATCCTAGTCCTGATCGTGGTTAGTGGGTACGTCTATAAGTACAGATGCATAGTTGTCAATGTGTTTACTCCAATGAGCGGACGAAGGTTCACATAAGCGTCAAGAGCTGATAACTGGAGTTCTGTTAAATGCAACTCTGAATACCGTCTATGCGAGAAATAAACAAGAGGAACTTGTTGAAGAGTCCTGTAGCCGCGAGAGGAAATAGAATGTATGGAAGGATGATGAGATGATCGAGGATAGAAAAGATCTCAGTAGAAAAGGGAGTGGTAATAGAATGGACGGTGCTAATGCGCGAAGGGCACATAATCGTCGATATGCGATCTCACGCTAGTTTTCCCAAATGAGTAAATGATTATTCTGCGTCAAGACGTTTGTCTTTGTTCTTCACGCTAAAGCTCTTCTTTGTTCCCTTGTCAGTGTACCCAGTGAAAACTCAAGACTTCTGGAGTACTGTTTTAGCTCATGATTAAGGGAAGTTTGTTGTTGCCAGTTGAGTTGGTTTGTGGTAACGACTGGTCAAGTCATGAGATGCAATTTCAATGATTGAAAGTGGTGCTGATTGCTATGTCACTCCGAGAGGCCATAATAGAACACGGACTGGGTGTAATTACATTGGCCTTTAAGGTTACAACAGTGGCTGATCTAGTCATGGTCGCCTATCTCATCGGTATTTGTAGCTCCTGACCAGGTCGTTGACGAGCCAAATGTGGGAAGGAGAGTGAAAATTGATGGAGCAACGATTCAGAGTGGTCAACGGTGATCGTGCCTAATTGGACGAAATGATTTCGACCACAAGATAAGATTCTTGACTGGGTTGTATGGAAAACCTCTTCATTCTCCTGCCTTTCGTCGCTTGCCCTCAGTCATTCTTGACTTCCTGTCTTCGTCCTTTTTTAGAATTCAAGCTTTGTCTTAATAAGAAAATTGAATTTCATTATTCATTCGGGTCTCACACCTCGTGTACAATCGCTGAGACGTGACCACTCTTGGGCCGATTAAGTGAGCCGGAAGACACGAGGCTATCTGAGTTGTAGATGCTCCTGATAGAACCTTAGTCTTCCGTCTGGGAGAAGTACGACCCGTGTGTTCGCGTTCTCTATTAGTTGTCAATGAGGGTGGCCGGAGGGGATCATTGCTTACAACATCTGTCTGAAAGCGAGTCTCTTCATGGCAGTTGGTTCCCTCTAGTTAAATAGCGCTCGGGAGGTAGCCCACGCGCCTGTTTATGAAGAAAAAGGGAAAATCGATAACTGGACAGAGTTAGCAAGCAAACTAAGGAAGCATTCTTGCCCAGTGTTTTGCTAATCTTGATCAGACCTATCGACTAGGAGATTAGTAACGGGGAACTTGAGCACGGGGATTGGAACGGTTACACGAAAGGAAAACATCTCTTAGACCCTGACAGATGGCTTGATGGGCAGCAAACTGCGAGTCCTGAAAAGAGTTGCCTACCTCTTGGTTAAGTTCCTCCTGGACGGGGACTAATCCTTATGTCCTTCCCCGTTGTATTGTTGAATAAAAGTGCAAATTATTGGGAAAAACTACTGAGAAATGCAGGCGATGTTCAAACGCTGATTACGTTTCGTCATGGGACATGTTAAGCCAGGAACGAGCAACAGTCATTGAACACAGAAGCCTCTAGGAAGGCTGATTGCTCGTCGGACACTTACTTACGAGGGCTCAGTTCTTGGCTAGGGACATGCAGACTCTGTTTATGTAGGGGTCTATGTCCAAACTCGTTCTTTCCAACTAAGAAACTGATTATAAAGGATCTATCGGAGGGGCTACCCCTACAATAAAAAAAAACTAAGGACTCTTGTGCTGCTGAACTCTGTATCGCCTACGATCGCAGCCCTGACGCGACACAGTACATCGCAGTTGTGTAGAGTTCTGTCGCGAATCCAGATGTAAGCTGAAGCAGAATCCTATAATTATGACATCTCTGATAAGTAAGACGTAGCTCCTCACTTAGTACCAGGCGGGTATTTAACAATGTGACACCGGTTCAGGGAGTGGTTCACGTGAGAAGTCCTGCGTGGTGCTCTTACCAAAAGATGCTGGTGAACATCAACAAGGCACATCTATTTATTTATCTACTTATTTATTTATTTATTTATCTATGAAGATTGTCGTGCTTATGACGAAGTACCGAGTCAGAACACCCTCTGTGATGTCACATGACGCACTGGTGATTGAGAGAGCGTCATGACAGTTCTTGGGTTTTACAGAAATAAGAATGGATTCTTTACGTCAGAACTGAGTCATGTTCTGATTAGCCTTGCGGTCTGAGCCTGTGTTCACAATAAACTTCCGCCCAACGGGTTTTTCTCCATGGGATACTAGTTCGTGGGAATTTTGCAGCCAGCTGATAATACTCATGAGTTACATGAACGAAGGCATAGACCTACAGTACCCCGACCTTACCCCTCGTTTAAGCCTATACCGTGCTGGTTTGGAGAAGTGATGACCTTCGATCCGATTATTGAGACTACCGAGAAGACGGAAGATGATATTGAGTAAAGTGTTTCTATTATTGGATGAATAACTGTTCATCTTGACAATAAACGGAGCCTGGTTACCTCTGTTGAGTCCATTGTTAGTATCAGTGAAAACCTCAGCTTCATTCTCAAAGAGTATTAACAAGAGTCTCTGAGGGAAAGATGGAAAGTGGGAATACAGTTAGAGTGACTTGTTCACTGCATCAAGTCACAAAAGGGGATTGGAGAGAGAACGCAGTTGAAGACTATGGCCGTCAAACAACTATGATGATGGAACATGCACTGACCTTGGTGAGGCATCACACAAAAATTGAGTATACTTATTACCTGTACGACAGAAACAACAGACTCTGCGCTACCATCTCCTCCGTGGGTTCAGTCGAGGAGGCAAGGAGGGCTATTTACGGGTGTCAATGAGATAAGACTGCATCAGACTAAGGCAGAGCAAGGAAAACCGAGTCGTTCCCGAAACTGGATCCAGTCAAAACACACCGCAGATTACCAAGACACAAACAATAACAAACATTAAACCATTATAGCAATTAGCAGGCCAGCAATCTTGAGACAGACAAGACAATCAACAATCTTCACAGAGCCCCTTTACTAATCAGACCAATGCAGACTGACACAAGCACGAGGCAGAGCAAGTAAATCCGATCATAGATTGTCAACAATTTGCAGACATCAGTGAGAGAGAGTTCAGCAAGTAGAAACATGCATCAGTCAGAGGCAGATTAGATCAAGGCAATCAGATTTGAGATCAGCTCATTTATCCAGACATTCAGTAGTCAATCCAACAACTAGCTCAACAATTCAGCAAGCAATTCAGCAATCAACTCAACAATCCAGCAGTCAGTTCAGCAATCAACTCAAGAGTCGGATCAACAACAGTCAGCAGACAGCAGACGTCATTTTCCATGAGTACAGTCGAATCCTTTCGAGTCAGCGAGTCAGTGCTGGCCAATCTCAATTAGATTTCATGCAAAGAGGCATTCTGTTATCAGTATGCTAGTGCCATTGGTTTCAGACAAGGAGATCTGTCAATTTTCGTTGTCCAGACCAGTTTTGCTGATGGCACTATCCACGTTCTGAGGCCCTATCTGAAGAAGGGCAAAAAGGCTCATGAGCATTTTGACGCAGTGTGGATCTCCGCCACGAGGTATCTCGAGCAGAGAGAGAGAGAAATCGATGAGAGCGGCACCAAACTGATTCGCAGCTTTGGGCCCAAGCTTTATACGAACTATCCTAAGCCTCCCGTTCCTTCTCTTCTCATAGATGGCACAGGTTGTCATGATATGGTCGGTTTGGCAAAGAGGTATATCTCTCCAGCGGTGATCGACATTGAGGCACTGACTGAGCCAACCGAGTACC